TTTGAATATTGTTTTTATTGGTATTAATATTGATTTTGTTATCAGTAAATTAAAATCAAACTTAATACTATTTTCATATACATATACACATTCATGACTCTACAATCTGTCGATACTTGTATCTTGGCATTTCACAAGGTCATGTTTTTCTCTCACTGTTAATGACGTCTTTACACTAGATCTTTTAGATGTTGGATGTGTACTGATTGATATCTTAGTCCTAGATGCATATTTTTTTTTATAAGTTGTTATTGGCTTTGAACTAGCTGTCAGTAACTGCGAGATATGTCAGATCTGTACGTAGTGTTTTTTTGTTGTGGGGATGTATGAGTACCCTGCCACGTCCACTCTTTGTTAGATGTATTTCTATTTGTATCCATCTGATGAGTTAAGCCATTTTTAAGTTTTTTATTTTTATAGTTTGTCCTTATGTTAAAACTTTACACCACTGTCCCAGAAAGGGGGGAGGGCGCATTCCAACATGTTTTACACCGCCACATTCTGTATGTGCCTGTCCCAAGTCAAGAGCCTGTAATTCTCGTTTGAATTGTTTCACATTTGTCATTTCGGGGCCTTTTATAGCTAAAGCCTGAAATTCAGTGGTTGTCGTTTGTTTCTGTGTATCATATTTGTTTTCCGTTCATTATTTTGTACATAAATTAGGCCGTTAGTTTTCTCGTATGAAGTGTTTTACATTTGTCATTTCGGGGCCTTTTAAAGTTGACTATGCGGTATGGGTTTTGCTCATTGTTGAAGGCCGCACGGTGAACTATGATGGTTAATTTCTGTGTCATTTGGTCTGATGTGGAGAGTTGTCTCATTAGCAATCATAACACATCTTCTTATTTTTATATATGATATTCTTAAACTTTTTTTCTCCATAAAACTAACATGTTATTTAGCGCTACATGTTGCCGACTGCAAGCATTTTCAAATCAAATCTGCAAGCATCACATGTTTTTGTCGAATTTTGCATCTATTAATTGATTAAATTTTGGTTGCTTAACCTCCAAAGGCAAATAGTTCATGTATGTCCATCACGAAATTTGTGCATCGAAGAACGTCGATAACCAAAATTTGTCCAAAAACATTTATATAGCTTTACGTTCAACATAATAGAGGTTGTGGTTAACCTTTTTATATGTTTTGGTATAGATACCCCAAAATTTGGATTTTATTTCCTGGTTTATAATTAGGTAATATCTTTATAAAATTAGCAAGTACACATAAAGGCTGTGATACTGTGATTGAACCATTACATGTTGATTTTTTCAGAGCTTTGGTCAGTTAACAGTTAATCCAGTGTATCAATCCATTAATCTTTTGCGGATATATTTTCAAAATATCTTTTTTCATGTACTCTTTTGTGAATAGAGCCATATTCCTTTCTTTTCCTTTTATGTTTTTATCTTTCTTTCTTTCGGCAAGCAAAAGTATTAATTAAATCTTGCAATTCAAACACGGAAGTAACAGAAATTATTTCCCCTTTCTGAACACAAGATTTGTTTTTATATTTTGTTTTTGTTTGTGATTATTTTGGGGATTTCGTTTGATTCCAGTTTTTTTTTTTTTTTTTGAGTTTCATATATTTTGTGGGTTTTTTTTTTTCATTTTGTTTCACACCAAGAGAAATACATAAAGTATGATAAGAATAAATAACCTAAATGTAATGGGTTCCGATTTGACCATTTTAATCTTTACGATATATTTTATTGGAGTGAAATAGTAGGGTGTTAATAAATAAATATCGAAAACAATAACAAATTTTATAGTCTGCATGTGGTACGATGATTAGAAAATCGTTCAATCTGAAAGAAGTCGTTTCCTGAAAATCAGAAAGCAATCGTTTCTCAGAATGACGCAGAAGGTAAAGAATCTGAAAGACAGCGTTTCTTAGGAAATTTATGGTTACATTAAATGAGTTTCGAGAAACGGAACAGTATTAATGAAAGGAAAGTCAATAGAGGATTTGAAACCTATGAATTAGAAATATGTTTTAAACAGTTTCATACGAAAGAAATGCATTATTGTGTTCAATCGTTTACGGTGTTGCGTTTGTGGGACCGTTTACGACTTGATTACAAACTTTTATAATGACATGCATTTCATTTTTATCAAGAAAAATATCTCTAGTTTTCCGTGAGATACAAGAGAGAACACCATATACCATCCGATTGAAGTATCATCCATCCTCATTTCGTGTCTCCTGCTTCGTCGTCAACAAATATCTGAAAGCAATCGTTACCGTCGATTAAATCGGAAAGCAAGCGTTCTGAATATACACCGTGAATTCGGTAAAGAACGCATAAGATCAAGTTCCAATTGAAAGCCCTTATCGTGCTATCGTTAAAAATTATATGTCTCGAAGGGTTTCGGGCAAATCATTAGTTTTTTGTATGTCTTCAATGAATGATACTCCGTTTTCTCACTGTGCTTTCTTTTCACATATTTCACATGTAGCTATTTGTATGTTTTTGCTTTCGTGAAAGTTTTGGTACAGTGTTTTGTTATAGGAAGACTGTTTTTCTTTTTTGTTGAATTTGATTATGATTTGATTTTGATATATTTGTTTGTCTTTTTGAGGAGGACAGGAATGAGGTTATGGTTTCAGTGGTGCTTGTGGCGGTTGAAATGGTCGTAATTTAACTTGTTAAAAAGGCTGCATAAATTTTTGCTGGTAAATTCTTTTCTGCATTTTATTTTTTCTTGTTGTTTTCTTGACGTTAATTTAATTCAATCGTGTACCACGGAAAAAAACTTTCTTGCAATCGTTCGAATGATCGGTGATTGCTTAAGTTGAGTTAAAACAAATCTTCAGATAATAATGAATGTTATCGCTCTCATAAGTACATATAGGGAAGGGTGTTATTTTACAAAGGGGGGGGGGGATTAATTGTCCGTTCGTGGTGTGACGAGGTCTGGATCTCTAAGTTGAAAAGTTTGGCATGTGCTGTAAGTACCAATGAATTTAAAAATTGAAACTAATGAAGATATTAATGGGAACTTTTGTATACATCGTCGTTACATATTGGTTACAGCTTCATCGATATTTTAAGACCTAAATATTACTTATCATCTTGAAATATAGTAATATAGTTTAAATATTCCTTTGGTATTTTTCGCCCCCCCCCCCCTTCTGTATGCACACAACTGTCTTACATAATACCACATATCAATGTCTTCACATGTGGCTAAACAGAAGTTAGTCTCTACTAGCGCTATTACTATCTGAATTTGCTATATGGTAACCCCTTAGATTAAAAAACTGACCGATGCAGAGATTTTTCTTCGATTACAGATTATCTGAATAGAAAATCAGACAAACACAAACTACAAACATTTTACCAATAAAATTCAATAGGATTCAATTGTCTCTTGAACTGGTTCCGACTTATATAAGACCATAGAAAGAGTCGGACTTGTGTTTTGTACGGATCCGGATTAAAGAATAATGGAATAGTATGGTTTGTCAAGTGCACTTGTCCTTCATCATAAATTAAAGGATAAAAGGAATAACAGAAATTTCAATGTACTGTTTTTAATTTAAGACTCCGATGCTATCACCAGCCCATTAGACAGTACTTCGATATCGACATGACAATACAAATAATGTTTTAATTGCTGATTTATAGGATTCATATGAATTAAAAAGTGAATATCCCTCGTGCTAGATATATTTTCTTGTTTCGTCTTTCGTTATACGTTTGATCTTTTTTTGTTTTGATTTATCCTCTCTTCAACATTTGTGTTAGTTTATTTTCAAATGTTTTGGTATCGATCATCACTAATAATAAACTAATTGTTAAAATGTGCATCTGGTCAGTAAAATTGGAACCGTTAATGCTATTTCAAAGGATTTCAATGTGTTTAAATTCGTAACTGTTTGATCATAATGTCTTTTTATATATTATACTTTGACCTGATACAATTCTGAGCGTTATCAATATATTTTGATATCTTGAAAATTGTATGGAAACTATAAACTTTTAATATCGATTTCATCTTGAACATTCCGTTCAATGAGGTTTGCGTATGTTCACTGCTCTTTACGATTTGAAAATACTGTGTGAAAAATAAATATAAAACAATACTATGTTGGGACGTTGGAGGTACAAAATCCTCACTACTAAAAGCTGGGTTCGAAATGAATTTAAACCAAACAGTTGTAAGGTCTTTACAATACTGTAATACATTCAAGCTATCCTGTTGTTAAAACATTGTAATTTCCGTTGAAAATAATGGTAGCTGTTTTTTACACTGTCCGTGGACATCAGAGTATCAAAGACACACGTTCCGTAGTATTATATACCGCCTCTCTAGTTTATGAAATTTGAATACTGACTAGTGGTTTCGGTTTTTTAATCTCGAGATTGTATACAAATTATCGCTATTTATTCAAATCCGGATAATTTCTGAAATTGCACAACTTTTTCATACAGTTGAAGCTATCTGGGGCCCTGTTTAAGCAATGTATTATGCATATAACTTTTCAAAGAGACCTATTTAATCAATCGTAAACATTTCAAACAAAACATATTTATTACTTTAATTTGTGTTTGAAAAAAGTGTATCATAATGTATCAAAGTTTCAAAATGTTTGTTTTCTAACCTTTTTCCTCCCTCAGCTGTTACTGATGACCTTTGTATTTGCGACACTCGACCCAAAGAGGAAGTTGTCTAAATGACTGGTTTTTTTTTAGATTGGAATTATTAGCGATAAGGTGTATTAGTGGTTTTGAAATCTTGGTTTAACATTTAACATTTACTAACCAAAATCTACTTGCCAAAAAAAAAAAATAAATGGAGAAATTATTGCGTGCATTTATCATTGCGATTTTTGAAGAAAGGATAAACATGCGAGATTAATTATTGGGATTTTAGGAAAATCTGCATATAGGTATATGAATCAAATATCAGAATGCGAGTTCTTATTATTGCGATACTCACCCAGTCGTATATTCGCATAAATTAAAACTTCGCAATAATTTCTGAATTTACAGTAAATTCAAAAATATTGTATTGCATAAATCATATATAATAATACGTAATCTAAGTATACAGCATATATTACATGACAAATACTGTAGATAAAACATAATACAAAAGAAGTAAAAAATATCCATATGTTATAACCATACGTAGTACTTCTATAACTTATGTTAAACCAACTCACATGAAGTGTTATGATTGACTTCAAAAGCTTGACTCAAATAACTACATATATGCCTGGCATTTACCAATTAAACGGATTAAGTAAATATATTTCCGATTTGATATTATAATCTTAAATCAAATTTAAAAAAAAAAACTAAACTTTTCTCGAATGTTTTATGTAGGGGACAATATAAAAAGAATTGTCATTTATCTTCTACTTTGTCTCTGCAAAAGAAGGATGTTCACGAAGGGCACGAATTGGCCCTAAGATTTTGATGTTTTTTTAATCAGATCAAAATACTACACATTTCACATAGAAATACTTGTGATAATACTATTTAGACAAAAATACATTTTTTTGGCACCTTCCTTTAAAATTTATGAAGCTATGACCCCTTAAATAAACATTTTTTTGTATTCTAACGTCAATTTTGGTAAATTTTTCCATAATTTTAATTGTTTTTGGCATAATTAACCTTGGCCGCCATCCACGATCCAAAAAGTTTTTATATTGATGAATTCTATATCAAAATTGAAATCTTTTGGTTACAAAACATTATGGATCGTAAGTGGCGGCCAAGGTTTTCCTAAAGCTTTTAGGTCTGCAAATTGCACAAAATCATCACATTTTGACAAAATTTTCAAAATGGGCTTACTTTGAAAAGAACTGATTTATTTAGCACTAAGGCTTTTGAAAAAGACCCATTTACGACCAAATTGTGACCTTTTTTGGTGTTTTATGATAAAGTTGATATTTTAGGCCATATTGTGCCATAAGTGAATCTTTCATCTACTAAATTCTTTAGTTGATTTACTCCCAGTTGTAATAGGAAGTGAAAGTGAATTAATGCTGATTTGTCTGATAAGTGATCTCTCATGTTTTTGTATATCAAAGCTCAGGTAAGTTTTTATGTCAAATGATGAGCAACCATCCACCAGAATTGAAATGAGGAAGATATTTTAAATAGAAGATATGATACATCTTAGTATGTTATAAGTTAACTTGAGGGTTTGTGTCAATGCGATGATTATGAATTTGGCAGCTAATGCACTAAAAACAGTGTAAACATTTGCATCAAAACCTCTATGTATACCTTTGAATTTGGTGTTCTAATCTAAATGTGAAATATGTTCGTGTACACACACATACTGTACAGAATATCCATTTTAGCTAACAATTTAAAGAAAGTCTAGTTTGGAAGTTTTATGTTTAATAAATTTACTATTCTAGCTGTTTATTATTTAGAAGCCTGTAACAGGATAATATTTCCATATTTTAATTTTATTTTATTGTAAAACGGGAACGTACATTAATCAGTTAAGTAAATCCACACAATAAAATATCGATAAATATAGTAAACGTCTAGTTCCTGTAGCAGTAGCTGTAGCAAAAATGTTATTGTTTAGTGGGTGGATATGCTGGATCCGGGCCTGGCTGTGTAAAACCGCTTGGTTGTCCGTACTGTGGCTGACCGTATGCAGGCGGTTGTCCATAACCTGGCTGTCCATACTGTTGTTGTCCAACTACTGTGGTGTGGACACCTGGATGTGCTACAACAGTTCCAACGGTACCTTTCTTCGCTGTGTACGAAAAAAACATTTTGTTTTTTTACTTTAAATTTTTGTAAAGATGTTGAACAATTTTGCAAGTTAAGTATGTTTGCTACTTTGTTTCAAAATAACAAGATTTTTAAAAGACTGTTACAAATTGATAGTACATTAATCAAAGAACTAACTAAGCAGAAAAAAATAAGGGTCTGTGCGCTTGTTTTTGAGATGTAAGCCATTGAAAATTTGGCGGGAAATTATTCTCTCTAGATTTTTTAAACATTTAACATTGGCACCTGTTTTCTTTCAAAAACTATATAAAAAAAAATAACAAGGATTTTTGAGATTTTCAAATATCACTTTTAAAACTATATGTAATACAATTATGAAAAGAAAAGTAGGGGTTAGCCGGCAACATTATTTAATGGCAGTACATCGATAAAACCAGTGGATTCCGAATATCTAGCACATTCAAAAACAAGAGAAACGAACATACTTAATATCATATCTTTGATTTGGGCTATTAAATGTTTTACCTTAAGGTTGAAAAGAAATGAAATGAAAGTCCCTGACATGACAAAAAACAAGACACTGATTAATGCATAAAACAACAGCATAGTTTATGCTTAAAAATACGCACAAAAACAAAACAGAACATGGCAGACAGCAACCAACGACTACCACTGAATCTCAGGCTCCTGAATTGAGACAGACACATCAAGAATTTTACAGGGTTAAACATGATTGCGAACGCCCAATCCATCCATAACCTGGGACAGTGGTGCAACAGCGCAACACTAGAACAAATCGTAAGATATGTAGGAAAGGGCCTTACTTGTCAAATCACACGAAGCAAAGAAGAAAAATTTAACAAAAAAACAAACATTACCAAATCAATTACCGATCTAAGAGTTCTCGCAGTTACTAACAGCTAGCTCAAAGCTAGTTTCAACTAATAAGAGACTAAAATATCAGTACACATCCAACGGATTGAGTGTGAAGGCGTCTTAAACAGTCTTGGAAAAGCATGACATTAAAAGTTTCAACAGGATGTAGAACTATAGGTGTTCGTGGCTGTATAACAAAATAAGTTGAGTTTATTTAATTGATTAAATCATTTGATGAATGTATCATTTTAGTGTACATATGCTTATACAAAGTATAACAATATATATATACAATATCGTAACGATTATTTAACATTGTTCAAAGAGATCATCTGTAATTCATGTGCAAAGATTACCCCACTAAAAATTTGCAGAATACTTTTTGGGAAACTTCTGAAACCCAGATTCAGCATCGGTTATTGTCTCCTTCTTTGAAGACATTTTCTCTTTATCAGTTTAAACTTGATTTTTTTAAGTAACCGTTGTATTCAATAATGCTCCAAAACTCAAGCACATTCCTTAAATGAATGCACATATGTCCATTTGATTTCATTTACGCAAATTACCAATTTTGGCGCTCATTTGTCGTAACTCTCAATATATAACACGAGTTTGAAATAATGTGACTGAATCTGCTTAAATCACCTAAATAAAATGCGAAGTTACTCTGATAATCACCATTTCATGCCATTTATTTTAGATTTTTAATAAATCATTATTATTATTGTTGTCTAACTCTAGTTAATCAAACCAATTTAATCTTTTTTCTTTTTTGATTTTGCTTGTACATACGTATACTTAAATAAACTTACATCTGCAGCAGAGGTATATGAGGACGATGAAAAAAACAAGACCAGCTATAGCTCCAATGCAGGCTCCGACTATTGCTCTGAAAACAGAATATTTTTCAAGTTAGTCAAAGATACATACTTGAGCAAATATTTGTATGCAGAAGTAACAAACATTGTAGAACTGTCAATATCATTATGGACATTTCATTAAAAGGTCAAGTAGCCCTTGTCCATAAGCAAACTAGTTTTGTAGAGAAAAGCAATAACAGGCCAGTAAGTGTCTCCCTTGATACTGACAATGTATAAATGTGTTTTTTATAATTCTAATTTGTGAGTAAAATTTACGTGTTTATTCATCGTTACTTTATTAATCTATCATGTAACACCGATTGCCATACGATCAAATAACTCAATTAAATTTGAATAAACTCATTATGTAGGCACATCTAAGGGTTTTGTATACCTTATAAATATTTACAGCATTAAAGGTTAAACGTTTCAAAGTTAATCATGTTAATTATCTGGACTATGATTATATACAGATATGATCATGATCATGACCATAGACATATAATATAAATTGTATGAATTTCAAGATTATATATTCGTTACAAAAATACGTCACTGTTTGTGATGTCCTGTGCTGTCATTAATGGAAGATGTTCGTTGTTATTCTGCGGTTCACATGTTGTAACGACTATTTTATTATTTATTTGTGCGTTTCTCTGTGCTGAGTGTTCTTGCGTTTGTTTGTACTGTATTTCTGTCACGTAGTGTAGTCATTTTAACGATATTTTTTAACATTGCCATATAAGCTGGAGGTTTGGCTAGCCATAAAACCAGGTTCAACCCACCATTTTTTCTTAAAATGTCCTGTACCAAGTCAGGAATATGGCAATTGTTATCAAATAATTCGTTTCTATGCATGTTTGCGTTTGTATTTGTGGCACTTCAGTGCTTCTGTTGTTCCGTTGTTTTCCTCTTATAGTTGATGTGTTTCCCTCGGTTTAAGTTTGTAACCCGGCTTTGTTTTCTCTAAATCGATTTATGACTTTTGAACAGCGGTATACTACTGTTGCCTATATTTATAAACTGTTCCTCGATAATTATTTAAAAGAAAAATTTGAAAATGCCCAAATCTCATCGGACGTGTCTGCGTATTTATACGTTCAACTCAACGAAACTAATGTCCTTTTCAGACGTCGTAGGTGGTAACGGGCGAAGCTTTCGAGGAAATTTTTGAAGTTTATTTTTCGCTTTCAAACATTGTCCCTGTAATAGTTTTTTGTTTCGACCTTTAAGACCCCTCCTCGAGAAAAGGAGTATCATGGATGTCTATTGTAGGTCGAAACGTACAAACGATGTGAGTTAATTTTATGATATATGTAAATTATTCCTTTAACATTTTAATTTCTTCAACCATTTTCACAAGCTAACAAATATTTTGTTACGTTAAATTTGGACATTTTTAAGAAAGTAAGGTTTCAACTCCCTAAGTGAAAGTTTACCGTGGATTTGGCTATTTTTGTATGTCCTTTTTGGTCATTTAGCTCTTCAACTGATTCGGTTCTTATACATCATTGGCATTAAAATGATCGACTTCGAGCGTTCCCAATGAACGTAAATCCAGAAAAGCGCTTCGAACACATGAAAATTATAGAGTCTTGTTTTCACTTTTACAGCACTGTGTTGATATCTCTGCTTTTGGACTGTCAGTCCCTGAGGGTATCATTAGCTCAGAAGTCCCTACTTTGGTACTGACATGATTTATAACATTTCATTTATCAGTTTCAACCATCCTCTACTCATACTGTTTTTTACAACGCAAATATAACAATAATTTATAATTCCATATAAAAAAAGAATAAGTTACCATTAATTGACGATATTGATTATTATGATATACACGTACTGAGTATAATATTTATGCATATATCATGTCGGTGAGTTGCTACTTTAAGATTTAGATAATAAAAGGAAATATCTGTACATCTGTAATGAAACTGGTATCGTTTTAATATTTGTTTACTCGTCAATCATCGTGCGTTAATCGATCGTGTAACTGTCATCGCCCATGGTGCGTTCATCGTCCGTATAACATGTAGTAGTCGTCGTGCGATCATTATCTGTGAAAACACTCATTTATCATCGTTAATTCATCATTTGATGTGCATTCATCTTCTTACGTATAATCAGTTTGAATTCCAGAGGGTCTCTACTTAAAGGGGCAAAAGTAACGAATTCGACAAAATTTTAATTTTATTTCAAACATTCATAAGAGGGGAATATAGAAAATAAATTTCGCTATAAGCATTCAGTTTTGTTCAATTTCGTCAAAATAATCTAACAAAATATCACTGGTGTATTATTGACTTTCGAGTTAATAATTCAACTCATTAATCCGTAGTCATGCAACCTATTAATTTGACCTTTAGAGGAGATGGGTGAGCATATGATCATCAGGTGGCTCATTCATTAAAAAAGAAAAGAATGTCAACATTAAAAAGAGAAAATAGGAAGCCACCAGGAATGAAACTTTCATGGACTGATCCGGCCCACAAAAAGTCATTCTTATACAGGTAAATCAATGATTTGCATATATTTTAAACCTATAACATGCAATCTAACAGACCTAAAACAAATAGGATTGCACGTGCTCGCTATCTGTTTATGCTTATGATTAAATCGGTTGGTTTATATGACCGTCGGCAGTCTTCGAAGGACATCTCGATGGTTAATAAGGTGGAGTCTGGTCTAAAGTACGTACCAAATGGGGGTATATTATAGCGAGCCATTGCATTTTTAATTGTTTCTTTTTACTTTTTTGTAATTTGGATATTCGTTTAAGTAAGCTATAAATAAAATATGAGAATTTGGGTCAAATTGGTGAACATGAATTTGACAGCTCATTCCCTTTTAATCGACAAAAAGACTCTCAAAAAAACTCAGGACATTACAGTACTTACCCAATCGATAAACAGGTTGTAGACCCAGTGCAAATGTAAGCATCAGGACAGCACCAATCATATCCCGTACAATGATAATAGCCCAAGTAACACGACTGACCTGTAAAATACAGTAATAGGTGTGGTTATTTATTATAAATCAAAGTAGGATATCATCAAATATTGATTGCTGCAAATTGTAAATGAGTCTAAATAGAGACATATTCATATGTCATATTTACCACATCCCCAACTCTGTTTGCCGTTGAATTGACTCATTTTTTTTCATTCGTAAGAATCTCTATTTTATACACTTATACAGAAATTTTACCTTGTACGATTTCTAAGTTTAAAACTACACTGTTTAGAAGATATCGAGAAAGTTTATACTGTGCTCGAAACCATTTTTCGTTTTGAAAGAAAAGAGTAAACTATGTACTGTTCTGTAGTAGATTAGACGGATGCCACACGTGGAGCAGGATCTGCTTACCCTTCCGGAGCACCTAAGATCATCCCCAGTTTTTGGTGGGATTCGTGTTGCTCAGTCCATAGTTTTCTTTGTTGTGTTTTGTGCACTATTGTTTGCCTGTTGGTCTTTTTTTTTTAGCAATCGCGTTGTCAGTTTATTTTCGACTTATGAGTTTGAATGTCCCTATGGTATCTTTCGCCTCTTTTTTAGAAAAAAAGTATTAATAAAAATACCGAACTCCGAGGAAAATTCAAAACGGAAAGTCTCTAATCAAATGGCAAAGTCAAAAGCTCAAACACATCAAACGAATTGATAACAACTGTCATATTCCTTGCTTGTACATGCATTTTCTTATGTAGAAAATGGTGTATTAAACCTAGCTTTACCTCTCATTTGTATGACAGTCGCATTAAATTACATTATCATTACAACAATGTGTGAACAAAACAAACAGATATAATAGGTAAAAATGTCAAAAATAGGGGTACAGCAGTCAACATTGTGTTATAATCTCAATCACTATAAAAACAAACAAATATGTCAACAAAGAAAAACAAAAAGGCATATAGACAAAGCACATCAGCAAAAACGAAAGACCAGAATACAAAAATGTACCATAGCACAATAGCACAATGACGGGATGTTTAAGTACCGAGCATCGTCAAATATATTTTACTAAAAATAGACTAAACAGTAAAAGTAATAAGATACAAATACAAATAGACGAACGCTATAACACGTAACTAAGATGATAAACAACGTCAGTACCTAGAATCTATACTTCAAGACCATCGTGTATTATTTGTGAAGTTGATACGGAATATTTATCAGCAAAGTCTTGGTATCTTCCGATGAACTTCTTTAGAAAAAGGACGAGATGTTCTATGATATATCCTTGGTTCATCAACTTTCTGCGCAGACACTGGTGACGTTTTACAAGTCTAAGTAGCAGCTGCGAATACCGACTGAGTTGGGAAATGTATGTCCCATATGCAGGTTTAGTTGGTATATTGAAGAAGGTGGGGAAATTTATAATTACATAATTTGAACTGTCTCGTTTGTCATAGATTCTGGTCATGAGATGACCGCTTTATTAAATTCGAGGTATAAGTCGAAAAATGAGGCAGAGGAACCGTGTCTGTTGTTTCTTTAATTTCTAGTTCTGGAGGATATATTATTGGAACCCAATCAGAAAAGTTTGGATTGTTAATAGAAAGAACATCATCAATATATCTGAATGTGAAATTAAATGATCTGTTTCTTTGATTCCTCTTGTTTTTAACAAGTTTCTGAAGGAACTCCGAATCATATGAAAATAAGAAGAGGTCGGCAAGTAGATGCGCACAGTTCGTTTACATAGGAATGCCGACAATTTGTTGAAAAAGTCTACGTCAAAATTTAACAAATATGTTGTCAATAAGGAGCTCTAGCATACTGATCACTTGTATATATCTCCCAATTGATACGATATTCCCGGGCTTGTATTTCCTATCATGATTTCCTTGATAGATGATTGCTGCTCACAAGGAAGATATTAAACCAAGAGTTCCAAATGGTGAAGTTGAAGTCATCCCTTCGTCAATTTTACGGACGCCATCACGAGTGGGTTGACCGTTATGGAATAACCGTTTCACAGATGATATCGAATATGTTCCTTATGTTGTAACTACAATACCATTCCCTT